TGTTGGAGGTGGTTGGAGACTGTTGGAGGCTGTTGGAGGTGGTTGGAGACTGTTGGAGGCTGTTGGAGGGTGTTGGAGGCGGTTGGAGGGTGTTGGAGGCGTTTCAGACGCTGTGTTGGTCTGATCAGCCTCCATCTGCGGCTCAGATGGAGTTTCAGGACTGAGATTCTCAAGTTGGGTGTTTCTTCAGATCTTCCTGTTAGATAAAACTGATGGAACATTTTGACTTCTCCACATTGACCCCTGCTGGTAGAACCGGACTTCTACAGTTTTATTCTCTGCTCCAGCTGCAGCAGATCAGTCATTTCAGTCACTAAATTTGCCAACATTTATCACAGATTAATGTTCTTGGTGCCAAATTATACATGGACCCATCAAAATAATATTTACTATCATCTTTTGATTTTCCAAGATGGATGTCATGGTTCTAGAGAATTTATTTGCACTAAAGCTAGCAGTACTGTAGTTATTGCTAAAGACTAACAGTTAACCACATGTTATGGTCACTATTAGTGCTAATTATAATGCTAATCACATAAAAAATAATGAGCAGAAGCTAATGCTAAACTGCAAAATGTGTCCAAAATTTAGTGAAAGTTAATGTTAGACTGCAAAGCATACAGAAATAGCAAAAGCTAAATCTGAATTGCTAAACATAGACAATTAGCAGAAGCTAATGCTAACATCAAGCTGACTGTCTCCTTCCAGTTGACAAATGGAACAAAGTTCTGATACATTTTATTACTTTAAGGCTTATAAACTGGATGAGCCGAAAAAATAAGATGAGACATAAAATTCATCCTAGTCATGAAAACGGAAAACATTTTATTCCAATAAGTTAAAAAGGCTCAAAAATGGCAGCCATCTTGAAAAATGGCCATCATCCTGAAATTCAAGTGTCTGATGGGAAAAATTAAAAACATGTTTAATGCTTACTGATGTAGCCACAGTGACAGATTCAGATTCTTCTGAGTTTCATTTCTACCAGATTTATTCAGTAAAACCTTCCCAGAACCAGTCCAGGTCCAGGAGAGGTTCTGGCTGTTTACAGCTGATTGTTTTGGACAGTTTCTCATCTCCAGTGAGGAAGAGGAGGAGGAGGAGCACGAGGAGGAGGAGGAAGCAGCGTCTCGTTTCTGGGCTCTAACCAGGTCGAGGTTCTGCTTCTTGTCTTCACGTCGCCTTCTGGTTCTGCTGGTTCTGTGGGCCTGGAGAGATTTTCCTCCTTTGAAGATGAAAACTTCCTGGAACTTTGTGGAGATTCTGATTTAAAGCGTTTTGCTCTTCGTCTGACGGTAGGTTCCTCCTCTTCCTCCTCCGGCAGCCTGATGACCGACTGCATGAAGCTGCTTGTGCCTCAGTCACTGCAGAGGTCAGAGATGACGATTTCAGCCTTAATGTTTCTCATTAACCGTGAAACCAGATCTGACCAGAACCTCACCGCCAGTCCTCCTGTGGTTCTGATGCACCTTAACCAGCAGGTATCCATGGCAACCTGCAGGGTGGTGACCCAGGTGACCTCACTAACCGCTCCCCACAGCCTTTGCACTGAGCTGGACCAAAAGGAAGCTCCAAACCGACCAGGTGTTTCTGTCCAGAATTTTTACCTCTATAGAAACTTTTTCTTTCCAGGTTAAATAATCTGCCAGTTTTTTACCAATATTCAGGAATTCTTGACTTATTTCTTGCTAAAAAGTTTCTTTTGTATTATCTCAAGCATAAGGGCTGGAAACTTGACAGAAATCCTTGGTAAGGTTTTGTTTTTTGCAGTGTGGATTGGATCGTTGAGGAAGAGCTGTTGAAGGTCCAGACTGTCGATATTTCTCAGATCGGTCGGTCAAAGTTGGTCTGCTGGAGATCCAGAGATTAGCAGGGGGAAGGTCATGTTTTTGGGTTTGACCGCCACGTTCATAAACCCAGATCCAGACTGAAGCCCGTTTCTGTCTGTTTCAGGTTGAGGAGGCCTGAAACTTCACCATGAGTCCCGCTGGACGCCCGTCGTTCCTGCTGCTCCTGTTCGCCGCCATCTCAGCCAGCTCCGCAGCAGGGGGCGCCGGTTTGGCGCCAAAGTCCAACACCACAGCCAGAAACCAGACTAAATGCGGCGGCAGCACCGACTGCATCGAGGGCGTCATCCTGCCGCTGTGGAAGCCGGAGAACCCGGCCTTCCCCGACCGCCTGGCCAGGGCCACCATCTACTTCGTGGGGCTGTTCTACATGTTCCTGGGCGTCTCCATCATCGCTGATCGCTTTATGGCGTCCATCGAAGTCATCACCTCTCAAGAAAGGAAGATCACCATAAAGAAACCCAACGGGGAGAAGATCACCACCACGGTTCGCGTCTGGAATGAGACAGTATCCAACCTGACCCTGATGGCGCTCGGATCCTCCGCGCCAGAGATCCTCCTGTCCCTGGTGGAGGTTTGCGGTCACAACTTTGACGCCGGTGAATTGGGTCCCAACACCATCGTAGGCAGCGCCGCCTTCAACATGTTCGTCATCATCGGCCTCTGCGTGTCCGTCATTCCCGACGGGGAAACCAGGAAGGTGAAGCACCTGCGGGTGTTTTTCGTCACCGCCACCTGGAGCGTGTTTGCTTACACCTGGCTATACCTGATCCTGGCCGTTTTCTCTCCAGGTGTTGTTGAGATATGGGAGGGGCTTCTCACACTCTTCTTCTTCCCTTTCTGTGTTGGGTTTGCTTATGTGGCCGACCGCAGGCTTCTTTTCTACAAATACGTGTACAAGCGATACCGAGCCGGGAAGCAGAAGGGAATGATTATCGAGACCGAGGGCGAGCCAGATCTCCCTTCGAAGTTGGACGTCGAAATGGACGGAAAAATGCTGAACTCCCATGGAGACGAACTACCTGACGGAGAGGCGAAGGAGCTGGACGAGGAGGAGGCGCGCAGAGAGCTGGCCAGGATCCTGAAGGAGCTGAAGCAGAAACATCCAGAGAAGGAGACGGAGCAGCTGATGGAGCTCGCTAACTACCAGGTTCTGACCCAGCAGCAGAAAAGTCGGGCCTTTTACCGCTGCCAGGCGACCAGGATCATGACGGGAGCCGGCAACGTCCTGAAGAAACACGCCGCTGACCAGGCCAAGAGGGCCACGCAGCATGACATCTGCTCTGAGATATCCGTCAACAACTTCTCCTCCAAGGTCTTCTTCGACCCTGGGAACTACCAGTGTCTGGAGAACTGCGGCAGCGTGGCGCTCAATGTCGTCCGCCGAGGAGGAGACTTGACCACTACGGTCTGTGTGGATTACCGGACTGAAGACGGAACCGCCAACGCTGGCTCCGACTACCAGCTCACCGAAGGAACCGTTGTGTTCAAACCCGGCGAGACCGACAAGGAAATCCACATCAACATCATTGACGACGATATTTTTGAGGAAGACGAGCACTTCCTGGTTCACCTCACCAACGTGAGGGTCACACCAGACGGAGCAAACGACCATCAGGCGAACTACGCCGACGGCCTGGCAGGGCTGGGCCTGCCGTGCTCGGCCACCGTCACCATCTTCGACGACGACCACGCCGGGATATTCAGCTTTGAGGAGCCGGTGGTGACGGTGAGTGAGAGCGTGGGCGTGATGGAGGTGAAGGTGACCAGGAACTCAGGGGCCCGCGGTGTCGTGGCGGTGCCGTACAAAACCATCGAGGGGACGGCAAAAGGCGGCGGAGAAGACTTTGAAGACACGCACGGAGTCCTGGAGTTTGACAACGATGAGATTGTGTAAGTACTAGTGGTGGCACTCACTTAAAAATGTTAATTTCAGGGTCTGTAATTAATTAATTAATTACATTTAATTAAAGGACATATCAACAAAATCAGCGACACTTTCAAGTCAAAAACCATTTTTGCTGCTAATCATTGAATAAATAGAAATATGAGCTCAAAACCAGGAAGCTTCTGTAGAAACGTGGACTGTGGATGCTGACATTAGCATTAGCTGCTACATGTTTAGCATTGAGATGGTTTTTTTTAGGCTAGCATAGCTTCTGATAGGCTAACTCCTTTTAGCACACCTTGAACACAACGGTCTTTTCCAGTGTCCAATTTTTCTGGGTTTCAGTTTTGTCCCTGATGTTGATGTGTGGATGAAAACCTGTTCACCAGCTGCGGTTTACAAATGTTTGAATTTTGATTGTATTAGATTATCTGGTAGCTCTGCCCCCATCCTGTCATGTGACCTGGCATCCTTCTGCAAACAGCTGGAATAAAATCCCAGCAGATCTCAACCATGTCAGAGCCAACCGAATATTTTATCTCATTTCAGTTCAGATTGGGACAGTTTGTTATGGCGTGTCTCCGCAGAAAAACAAAAGCTTTCATTGGAGGCGTGTCGTGACTTTATGCGACTCTAGCATGTAGCATAGTCTTCATGTTGATGTATCGCCAGCAGACTGAGATGATGGAGTTTGGGTCCAGCAGCATTTCTAACAATAGCAATGCCGCCTAGTGGTCACATTCATTACAACACGTAGTACTTTTCATTACAATACACCATAATTTAGGTGGACGTGGGCCAGTTGACAGCAGTTTCAGATTAAAGCCTGACCAACTCCAGAGGTCGTTAGTCTCTCAGGTAGAGGGGTGCAAAGGTTGTGGAGGTCATTCAGAACCAGTGGGTCCCATTTGGCAGCAGACATGGGCCAGTTCAAGGTTAATATGTGTAATGCTGCAGATCAAACATCAGCTCATAGAATAATTGGGGGCTTGTCCGGGATCCTGACAGGATTGTTCAAGTTTCAATGACAGAAACGGTTCCTGGGTGCTCTGGTTCAGATGGTTCTGCAGAACTTGTTGTTTAGAAAGGATTTTATTCTGTTGCTGGTACCGTTAGGTGTCTTGGTACGACACTGTACAAGTCATGCTGATGATGACGATGTTCTGGCCTGAGGTCAGCCTGAGGTTAGCCTGAGGTCAGCGTCCTCAGACCTGTTTGCTCCACCAGGCCTGATGTCGCTGGAGTTTCAGTCAGCAGCAGGTTTAAGGAAAAACTTCAGCCGCTCTCTGCAGGCCGCCGGTCGTTGGTAGAAGCTGAGAAGTTTCTGCAGGGAGACTTAATGTTCTGTCAGTGAGGACGCCGCCCACTGAGAGCGAGTACAGCTGTTGTTTTGTTCCGTTTGTCCCGCAGACATGTCTTCAGGTGTCCAACAGTGCAGAGACAGCGCTGTGGGTGGACCCTCCTCTTCCTGGCTGGGTGCTGCTGACAGCTCCTTGTTTCTGTCTGTCCTCCAGATGTCCTTGCTGAGAGGACGGTGTTTTATTTAGCAGCTAGTCCAAACGCAGCCGCTCCTGTGTAAGGAGCAGATAAACAGCCTGGTCCTTTGTCCTTATTAGGCCGTCGGCTGCGGCAGCAGCTTAGCGTGCGGCTTCGCCCATAAAGCAACCGGTTCCTGTCAGAGCGCTGGGGGAGGTCGGACCTGGCCTGCGGCCACGGCGCCGGCCCACATCACCACGGAGATGAAAAACAGATCGGACTGCAGAGCTCTGTGGACCCGCCATCCATCAGAGAACAGTCAGGTTCTGCTGACCCGTTTCATCTCGGTGTCCTGAGGCTCAAACCTCCATAAACTTTACTACTAATTCGGCATTCCCATCGTTCCCATCGTTTCCAGTTCAATGCTGGATTCCAGGTGGGAACCTAGAAATGGGAGAGACAGCAAGCTCAGCGTGGCATCTAGTAGCGTCACTTCCGGTGGCAGCTGCCACTACTTTCCATCAAGTAAATGAAGTCAAAATATTGCAGATGTTACACTTTTTAGTAAACAGTACTCATTATTTCAACAATTATTTACTAACATTCAATATTATGAAAACGTTTTACAGAAATTGACATCAGCATTCCCAAGACAGGTCAGCACCCTAGTGGCAGTTGCTGGAACTGCCAGTACTGGCTGCCACTGCCACAAAATGAGATTCTGCTGGAGGAGAAACGAAGGTTCAACTTCATTTATTGATGGAAGTCCCCAATAACATCCGAATAAAAACGCCAAATTCAGGAGACAGATCGGGTCACGGCCGCGTTCGACTGCAACATAACGGCACTAAATCACTGCTGCACTGCAGGCCGGTTCTGATCCAAACAGCAGAAACAGAAACATATCAGTTCAGTTTGCAGGAAACACAACTTCAATCTGCTGAAATCAAATAAACATGGTGAGTTTCCATGGTGCTGGCCTCAACGCACACACAGTTGTGTTTTCATGACTTGTGGGGACTTCCCATTGACTTCCATTCATTTTCTACAGCCGATCCCAAACCATCACAGACTGAACCCCGAGTCCAAAAACAGCATTTCCCCTCATGGGGACCAGGAAATGTTCCCACAATGATATAAAAACATGATTCACACAGACACCAGTCAGAAATCAGTTGGAGTGGAAATAAATCCAGGAGCGGGCTCTAATTTGAAACTGGATTTCTATGTTGCGTTTTAAACTGAAAGGTTGCTACAGGAAACAGCAGATCGTCTGGGTTTTAGACGTTGCCTAGGAAACGGAGGTTTACAAACACCTGGATGTGTTTTCTCATAACCTCAGAGCGTTGAGACGAAGGTTCGGTGAATTTATGAATAAAGTTTCTCCTGTGGATTCCCTGAGGTGTCGCAGTGCATGCTGGGAGATGTGGTCCGGTCGGATCCTATCAGACTCCGGCCCAATGAGACAACCCGACCTGCTGCAGGGTGGATGGACCAGCGGTACCGGGACATTTCCACCGAGTCTCTGCAGGACCGACTGGGTCACAGCGTCCCGCTCACTTATTACCGTCCCTCTGTCCTCCTGTCCTCCCGTCCCTCTGTCCTCCTGTCCTCCCGTCCCCCTGTCCTCCCGTCCCTCTGTCCCCCTGTCCTCCCGTCCCTCTGTCCTCCCGTCCCTCTGTCCTCCCGTCCCCCTGTCCTCCCGTCCCCCTGTCCCCCTGTCCTCCCGTCCCTCTGTCCTCCTGTCCTCCCGTCCCCCCGTTCTCCCGTCCCTCC